TTGAAAGTAGTGCACTATATAGGGTGCCATTTGGGATGTAGCCTTTGAGTCAAGTGAGAAGAACAGTAAAGTATTATCCGGTCTAGGGAACCTTGGTTTTCCAACAAGATGAATAACTGTTGCCAGTTCGTTTTGTTTCGTCAAGCCTACCAGCGGTTTTCCCCCTTGCTCCTGTCTTTCTCAAGTTCCTGTTTTCTAGTTTTCCCGGTTTTGACCATTCTGCCTGCCCTGACCCTGAGCCTGCCTGCCGTTCTGTACCTTGTCACACCACCCTGGATTATTGACCTCTGCCTGCCCTGAGACTGCCTGCCGTTCTGTACCTTTTAGACTCTGATCTAGATTACTGACCTCTGCCTGCCCTTGACCTGTCGTTTACCTGCCCCGTTTTTGTAATAAACATTTTGTTACTTCGACACTGTCTGCATCTGGGTCTTCTCCTGAAACGTGATAATACCACTAGAATCCCCACTAAGATTCATGCAAAATCCCTAGCTATAAATTCCAAGCTTCCCAGATTCCCCATTCACTAAATTCAAACTATACAGTCTTACCTTTCAGGTCAATGTAAAAAAGAAAACCACGCTTTCCGGTATTCAAATGGTGTGGGCTATTACTGTATAATGGTACTGTATATAAAGCATAACCAGTATGTGTTTGAAGATCTGTTTATGCTGTGACCCGTCTTAAGGGAGGTCACACTGTTGTCTTCATGCCCTTCAGATAAAAGGTAAAAGCATGCTGATAATATACAGTCCTATCCCACCATACTGGGCCATCACGTCAATGAGAGAACTACACTTTAAGGACCGGCTTATATTCCTATGGTAGAAAGAGGTCTTAGTAGGCCTATTGTATTCATTGATATGCATAATCACTGTATGTATTGAAAGTCAATGCCCTAAAGTGCACCTGAAACGCTAAATAGAATCTGTGTAAAAATGCTTGTTGTGTTTGGCCTGTATCCGCTCAGGTATAACCGAACATCGCCGCGAGCACTCCCCATCCTAACTGGGCATGTACACAATTTTCTGGTCAATAGATATTAAGCACACACTCGTTCTCCACGTTACCAAACAAATAGACAGAATTGGAAATGCAGTGTCTTAATAAACAACAGACAGGAAGATAAAGATAAACACTGTTTTTAATGGATGTTAAAGAGCAGTAGAACATTCACAATGTGTCCATCCAGGCAGCCTAGCGGTTAGTGTTGGGCAAGTAACCCAAAGGTCGCTGGTTCGAATACCCAAGCCAACAAGGTGAAAAATCGTAACCCTAATTTGCTCCAGGGGCGCTATACTACTATGACTGACCCTGTAAAACCCTGTATCCATTCATGTTTTTTATATGTTCTATTTATATCTGTAAATTAACCAATGATGTCAAGCCACACCCGGCCATGATTACAGACAACTGTGTCCTTCGAAACTATATAAACTAGTGACCCGCAGTGTTTGTCATTATACCCTGATGAAGACAGCTTATCTGCCCAAACTTTGGTTATTAAATTATTTCATCTGAGTTACAGTGACGCTCTCCTTTTCTTTTTCAAAAGTGTTCTACTCCGCTAGCCAGCACCTCTCCTAAACAGGTGTTCTACTCCGCTAGCCAGCACCTCTCCTAAACAGGTGTTCTACTCCGCTAGCCAGCACCTCTCCTAAACAGGTGTTCTACTCCGCTAGCCAGCACCTCTCCTAAACAGGTGTTCTACTCCGCTAGCCAGCACCTCTCCTAAACAGGTGTTCTACTCCGCTAGCCAGCACCTCGCCTAAACAGGTGTTCTACTCCGCTAGCCAGCACCTCGCCTAAACAGGTGTTCTACTCCGCTAGCCAGCACCTCGCCTAAACAGGTGTGCATTTCTTTCGCCTCCAGATGACCCTGTAAAACACCTATCCGGTGTATGTGACAATATACACTCACCAGCCAGTTTATTAGGTAAACCACCCCATTCACGAAAATTGATCGCTCCTACAGACATTGAGTCACGTGGATTGCTATAGAAAGCAGGCAGACAGGCATCCCGTTACTGTTCGATTGAACGTTACAATGGGCAAAACGAGTGACCTAAGCGACTTTGAGCGTGGTATGATCATCCGTACCAGGCATGCTGGATCCAAGAGTGGGCAAAGCTGTCATCAAGGCAAAGGGTGGCTATTTGAAGAATCTCAAATATAAAATATATTTTGATTTGTTTAACACTTCTTTGGTTACTACATGATTCCATATGTGTCATTTCATAGTGTTGAGGTCTTCACTATTATTCTACAATGATGAAAATAGTAAAAATAAAGAAAAAGCCCTTGAATGAGTAGGTGTTCTAAAACTTTTGACCGGTAGTGTACATATATATATTTTTATTTTATTTTCATCCATACACACATCTACCCACCATACATATATACTGGACATATAGTATGTACGTTAATGTATACATATGTACATCTAATCCGATTAATTAACATTTCTAATGTTCATGCCCTTAATGAATCATCAAGAACAAACATCATGACAGCTCCGTTACGGCTTTAGACTTATATAGAACAGCACAATAACACAACACCATTGGTATGTACGTACAGTATGAACCCCTTTATTCATTAGTCTCTCTGTGCCACTGACAGTGATGGAAGGCAGACTGTTGGGCTAAAAGCTAGGAAAGAAGGTACAAGAGAAGCCCTCTAAAGATAAGTTTTTCCTTCTCCTGACCATGTGATCTGACAGGGAAACACTCTGGGCCTTAGAAATGAAATGACCAGGAAACACTCTGGGCTCTAGTTACAGCCTACAAGTAGGGTCCAGAGTTTCTCCAGGTCAGGTCACATGGTCTGGGGAAAACCCCTGGTCCTAGCCATGTGACAGGAACAGTATTTAACCTTGGTTTAGTAGTGGCAAAGATGACCGCTTCATCTTTAGCACTGTAGAAGAGTGGCAACGACAACATTGCTTAACGCCTGAGTAGAAAGAATAGATCAATTGAAGTGTTATGTTATGAATAGCTATAACCAGGCTATAACCAGGGTCCATTATTGCAGACATTATGGTAACTTTCTCCATTACAAGTTTAACATACAATATGCAACAGCAGCATGGTTTCGTCAGGGTGAATGATAATCATTAATATTTGATTATTGTGCTTCAAAAGAAGACCAGTAATAATTTCATAATTTGCTCATATTATTGATGTGTACAAACTGATTTACAGTCTAGGTTATCATCTGCTACTTCCTGTTTACGTCTCATTTTAACAGTTCTGATTGGACAGCTGACTGGGGGCAGTCACAAGAACAACTTGAATCAAATATTTTCCAAGTATTCTCTTATTTTCTTCCCAAGTCCAGTAATCTCTATTCTTGAGTAATATGTACTGTTTGTATTTAAGTTAAAGCAGTGTACACGTTTCATGCACTTGATCAAGCTTCTCTCCAAGTGTTACTCAACTGTAAGACATTCATCTACGATCTATTCACTGTTAACCTGCTAAATCACATTCAGTTCACAATCATTGGAACGGCTGGATAGTCAATCCAGCAGAATTATTTGCATTGATAAAATCCTTAAATTGTGTGATGGAATATGTCATTGTGCAGATTATCGTATGGTAACAGCTTGATAACAGAAATATAAAAGAGCGGCAGGTAGCTTAGTGGTTAAGAGCGTTGTGCCAGTAACCGAAAGGTCGCTGGTTCTAATCCCCGAGCCGACTAGGTGAACAAATCTGTTGATGTGCCCTTGAGCAAGGCACTTAACCCTAATTGCTCCTGTAAGTCGCTCTGGATAAGAGCGTCTGCTAAATGACTAAAATGTAAATGTAATGAATGCCCATCGCTTTGGTTAATGTAAAGGGATGATATCAAAATTGGCACCAAAATGCTGACATTCGTCAAGAAAAAAACGTTAGTTTCGTATGAAGAACACTTTTCTATATGTCCACTCACCGCAAAAAAAGCTAGAAAACACTGTAGGCCATGATACAGTTTTACTAAAAAACTGAGTAAAATTAGGAAACAGTCCCCCTCCCCCCAGCTATTCCACGTGTGGTCTTCAGGGTCAGAGAGCAGGAAGAGTCTGTCTGTAGATCCTAGAGAGGGAAGATATAATGTCCTGCTGTTGGAAACCTGTAGAAAGCCTGAAGGAGGAGCAGCCTCCTGCCTCTCCCCTGCAGCATATATAATGTCCTGCTGTTGGAAACCTGTAGAAAGCCTAAAGGAGGAGCAGCCTCCTGCCTCTCCCCTGCAGCATATATAATGTCCTGCTGTTGGAAACCTGTAGAAAGCCTAAAGGAGGAGCAGCCTCCTGCCTCTCCCCTGCAGCATATATAATGTCCTGCTGTTGGAAACCTGTAGAAAGCCTAAAGGAGGAGCAGCCTCCTGCCTCTCCCCTGCAGCATATATAATGTCCTGCTGTTGGAAACCTGTAGAAAGCCTAAAGGAGGAGCAGCCTCCTGCCTCTCCCCTGCAGCATATTTATGTCCTGCTGTTGGAAACCTGTAGAAAGCCTAAAGGAGGAGCAGCCTCCTGCCTCTCCCCTGCAGCATATATAATGTCCTGCTGTTGGAAACCTGTAGAAAGCCTAAAGGAGGAGCAGCCTCCTGCCTCTCCCCTGCAGCATATATAATGTCCTGCTGTTGGAAACCTGTAGAAAGCCTAAAGGAGGAGCAGCCTCCTGCCTCTCCCCTGCAGCATATATAATGTCCTGCTGTTGGAAACCTGTAGAAAGCCTAAAGGAGGAGCAGCCTCCTGCCTCTCCCCTGCAGCATATTTATGTCCTGCTGTTGGAAACCTGTAGATAGCCTAAAGGAGGAGCAGCCTCCTGCCTCTCCCCTGCAGCATATATAATGTCCTGCTGTTGGAAACCTGTAGAAAGCCTAAAGGAGGAGGAGCCTCTCCCCTGATGATGTCATCACCAATGTCTTTCTGTCCCTCTCTATGGCTCAGAATCCATCCAGCACCAATAAACCCCTCTGTATAATCCAATCAAAGAAGAGGTCAGAGGGTAAAGGTTAGAGGTCGCCGCTCTGGGGCTCTAGGTTGCGGCCCTCCTGGTTGTGGCTGCGCCCAAGTATGGGGAAGCTTGACGAGGATCTGGACTGGGCCGTCTTACTGCTGGCCACTGGAGTGTCCCTGGGAGGAGACAAAAGGTCAAGAGGTCAGCAAAGGTAACCAGAGGTTAGTAATGCAGCTATGATCCCTTATTGATGTCACTTGTTAAATCCACTTTAAATCAGTGTAGATGAAGGGGAGGAGACAGGTTAAAGAAGGATTTTTATTTTTATTTTACCTTTATTTAACCAGGTTGCAGCGGAGGGTGCAGAGCTGGTGGCCGGGGTAGGGGTAGCCAGGTGGAAAGCATGGCCAGCCGTAGCAAAATGCTTATTGAAATTCTCGATTATCGTAGATTTATCGGTGGTGACAGTGTTTCCTAGCCTCAGTGCAGTGGGTAGCTGGGAGGAGGTGCTCTTTTTGTCCATGGACTTTACAGTGTCCCAAAACTTTTTGGAGTTAGTGCTACAGGATGCAAATTTCTGTTTGAAAAAGCTAGCCTTTGCTTTCCTAACTGATTGTGTATATTGGTTCCTGACTTCCCTGAAAAGTTGCATATCGCGGGGGCTGTTCGATGCTAATGCAGTACTCCACAGGATGTTTTTGTGCTGGTCAAGGGCAGTCAAGTCTGGGGTGAACCAGGGGCTATATCTGTTCTTAGTTCTGAATTTTTTGAATGGGGCATGCTTATTTAAGATGGAGAGGAAAGCACTTTTGAAGAACATCCAGGCATCCTCTACTGACGGAATGAGGTCAATATCCATCCAGGATACCCGGGCCAGGTCAATTAGAAAGGCCTGCTCGCTGAAGTGTTTTAGGGAGCGTTTGACAGTGATGAGGGGTGGTCGTTTGACCGCAGACCCATTACAGATGCAGGCAATGAGGCAGTGATCGCTGAGATCCTGGTTGAAGACAGCGGAGGTGTATTAGAGGGTAAATTAGTCAGGATGATATCTATGAGGGTGCCCATGTTTACGGATTTAGGGTTGTACCTGGTAGGTTCCTTGATAATTATAACATGCCATTTTATAATTTGTGTGAGATTGAGGGCATCTAGTTTAGATTGTAGGACGGCCGGGGTGTTAAGCATATCCCAGTTTAGGTCACCAAGCAGTACGAACTCAGAGGATAGATGGGGGGCAAGCAATTCACATATGGTGTCCAGGGCACAACTGGGGGCTGAGGGGGGTCTGTAGCAAGCGGCAACAGTGAGAGACTTATTTCTGGAAGCTCAAACTGTTTGGGCACAGACCTGGATAGTATGATAGAGCTCTGCAGGCTCTCTCTACAGTAGATTGCAACTCCACCCCCTTTGGCAGTTCTATCTAGACGGGAAATGCTGTAATTCGGAATGGAAAGTTCTGAATTTTTGGTGGCCTTCCTAAGCTAGGATTCAGACACTGCTAGAACATCAGGGTTGGCAGTGTGCTAACGCAGTGAATAACTCAAACTTGGGGAGGAGGCTTCTGATGTTGACATGCAAGAATCCAAGGCTTTTACAGTTACAGAAGTCAACAAATGATACCACCTGGGGAGTAGGAGTGATACTGGGGGCTAAAGGGCCTGGGTTAACCTATACATCACCAGAGGAACAGAGGAGGAATAGAATAAGGATACGGCTAAATGCTTTAAGAACTGGTCTTCTAGTGCGTTGGGTACAGAGAATAAAAGGGGCAGATTTCCGGGTGTTGTAGAATAGATTCAGGGCATTATGTACAGACAAGGATATGGAAGGATATGAGTACAGTGGAGGTACACTGGTCTCCGCATACTCTATGTAGTACTGTGCGCCTCCCATAGTCTGTTCTGGACATGGGGACTGTGAAGATTCCTCTGGTGGCATGTCTTGTGGGGTATGCATGGGTGACCGAGCTGTGCGCCAGTAGATCAAACAGACAGCTCGGTGCATTCAACATGTCAATACCTCTCATAAATACAAGTAGTGATGAAGTCAATCTCTCCTCCATTTTGAGCCAGGAGAGATTGACATGGATATTATTAATATTAGCTCTCTGTGTACATCCAAGGGCCAGCCGTGCTGCCCTGTTCTGAGCCAATTGCAATTTTCCTAAGTCCTTTTTTGTGGCACCTGACCACACGACTGAACAGTAGTCCAGGTGTGACAAAACTAGGGCCTGTAGGACCTGCCTTGTTGATAGTGCTGTTAAGAAGGCTTTATTATGGACATACTTCTCCCCATCTTAGATACTGTTGTATCAATATGTTTTGACCATGACAGTTTACAATCCAGGGTTATTCCAAGCAGTTTAGTCACCTCAACTTTCTCAATTTCCACATTATTTATTACAAGATTTAGTTGAGGTTTAGGTTTTAGTGAATGATATGTCCCAAATACAATGCTTTTAGTTTTAGAAATATTTAGGACTAACTTATTCCTTGCCTCCCACTTTAAGTGTTGCAGTCATTTCAGTCGCTGTAGTAGCTGACATGTATAGTGTTGAGTCATCCGCATACATAGACACTCTGGCTTTACTCAAAGCCAGTGGCATGTCATTAGTAAAGATTGAAAAAAGTAAATGGGCCTAGACAGCTGCCCTGGGGTATTCCTGATTCTACCTGGATTATGTTGGAGAGGCTTCCATTAAAGAACACCCTCTGTGTTCTGTTAGACAGGTATCTCTGTATCCACAATATAGCAGGTGGAGTAAAGCCATAACACATCAGTTTTTCCAGCAGCAGACTATGATTGATAATGTCAAAAGCCGCACTGAAGTGTAACAAAACAGCCCCCCCAATCTTTTTATCATCAATTTCTCTCAGCCAATCATCAGTCATTTGTGTAAGTGCTGTGCTTGTTGAATGTCCTTCTCTATAAGCATGTTGTCAATTAGTTTACTGTAAAATAGCATTGTATTTGGTCAAACACAATTTTTTCCAATAGTTTACTAAGGGTTGGTAACAGGTTAATTGGTTGGCTGTTTGAGCCAGTAAAGGGGGCTTTACTATTTTTAGGTAGCGGAATGACTTTTGCTTCCCTCCAAGCCTGGGGGCACACACATTCTAGTAGCCTTAAATTGAAAATATGGCAAATAGGAGTGGCAATATCGTCCGCTATTATCCTCAGTAATTTTCCATCCAAGTTGTCAGACCCCGGTGGCTTGTCATTGTTGATAGACAACAATAATTGTTTCACCTCTTCCACACTCACTTTACGGAATTTAAAATTACAATGCTTGTCTTTCATCATTTGGTGAGATATACTTGGATGTGTAGTGTCAGCAATTGTTGCTGGCATGTCATGCCTAAGTTTGCTTATCTTGCCAATGGAAATATCATTAAAGTAGTTGGCAATATCAGTTGGTTTTGTGATGAATGAGCCATCTGATTCAATAAATGATGGAGCTGAGTTTGCCTTTTCCCTAAAATGTCATTTAAGGTGCTCCAAAGCTTTTTACTATCATTCTTTATGTCATTTATCTTTGTTTCATAGTGTAGTTTCTTCTTCTTTTTATTCAGTTTAGTCACATGATTTCTCAATTTGCAATATGTTTGCCAATCGGTTGTGCAGCCAGACTTATTTGCCATTTCTTTTGCCTCATCCCTCTCAACCATACCATTTTTCAATTCCTCATCAAACAACAGGGATTTAATCGTTTTTACAGTCATTTTCTTCATGGGTGCATGCTTATTAGTAACTGGAATAAGCAATTTCATAAATGTGTCAAGTGCAGTGTCTGTTTGCTCCTCATTACACACCACCAACCAACATATATTCTTTACATAGGAATCACTACAAAACTTATTGTATGACCTCTTATACACAATAATTAGGCCCAGCCTTTGGAACTTTGGTTTTCCTAGATATGGCTACTATATTGTGATCACTACATCCAATGGATTTGGATACTACTTTCAAACAAATCTCTGCAGCATTAGTCAAGATATGATCAATACATGATGATTTAATTCCTGTACTGTTTGTAACTACCCTGGTAGGTTGACTGATAACCTGAACCAGGTTGCAGGCACTGGTTACAGTTTGAAGCTTTCTCTTGAGTGGGCAGCCTGATGAAAGCCAGTCAATATTTAAAATCACCCAGAAAGTATACCTCTCTATTGATATCACACACATTATCCAGATACTGACTGTTAGCACTTGGTGGTCTATCGCAGATTCCCACCAGAATGGGCTTTAGGTGAGGCAGATGAACCTGTAGCCATATTACTTCAACAGTATTTAACATGAGATCCTCTAATCTTCACAGGAATGTGGTTCTGAATATAAACAGCAACACCTCCACCATTGGCATTTCTATATTTTCTGTAAATGTTATAACCTTGTATTGCTACCACTGTATTATCAAAGGTATTATCTAAGTGCGTTTCAGAGATAGTCAGAATATGAATGGCATCTGTTACTAGCAAATTATTGATTTCATGAACCTTGTTTCTTAAGCTACATATGTTAACGTGGGCTATTTTGAGTACTTTTCTTCTGGGATGCTTACTTGTTTTTATTGCTTTACTGGGAAGCTTAGCAGCAGTAGATGTGCTCATGTTCTTTATGTTAGTGCAGGGTGAGCTGCACACAGTGGACTTCCTCCTAGGGCACACCGGCTCAGTGCTAACAGTATAAATCTGAGTGCTATAGATAATGCTAGTTGTTCAGTGTACACCTTCAAAGTGGCTTGTTGTGCCAGCCCAGTTATAGCATCCAGTCATTTACTGCATCATTCACACCATGTCCCACACCAGTTGAGGCTGTGACCTCTCAGTGAGCGTGACCCTCTCAGTGAGCGCGACCAATCACAGATCCCAACAATAATCTAATTTCCTGTTCTGGCAGCTGATAGTCAGAACACCGAGATTCTAAAACGGAGATCAAATAAAGAGCTGAGTTGATCTATCCTCTGATATCTACATTGACGATAGAGCTGTCTCAGCCATTGATGACCCATCCAAAATGGTGACCTCTCTTTTATGAATGACTGAGCGATTCCTAGTGTGGCTGCCATGTTGTTAACGGGCCCCTGGTTAGGAGGGGGCTGGGATGGAGAGGTTATCTCCTACCGGTGTGCATATGACGCTCATAGGATTGTTTGATAAATCACACTTATTCTACAACATTCTAAATTCCGTTCGTATGTAGTATTTTAGAATAGTTTCTATGCAATATTGATAAATGAGGCCCCAGAACTTGAGACTAGAGCTCTGTGTTTTCTGTGTGCCATTTTGGGCAGAATGTGCTGACTGCTGAAACTAAGGGGACACTTTTGGGGTGAGGTGAGACTGAGTCATCTCCAAAGAGAGGAGTGATGACAAGTGCAGCTTGAGACGAATCGGGTTTTCATCTCTCTCTCCTTCTTCCTTCTCTCTTCCCCTCTCCACTTGTCGGGATCTGTGATTGGTCGCGCTCACTGTGAGGTCACAGCCTCAACTGGTGTGGGACGTGATGTGAATAATGCAGTAAATGACTGGATGCTATAACTGGGCTGGCACAACAAGCCACTTTGAAGGTGTACACTGAACAACTAGCATTATCTATAGCACTCAGATGTGTCAGGCAATATATTATTAGGAAGCACTTGGTAAAATATGTGTTTTCCCCATCTGACAATTCAAACTCCGATGCACACGCTGAAGCGCGTACCCACACACACACACACAGACAATGTGACAGACTGTCACTCACAGGCAGAAGGGCAGCAGCTGCAGCAGGGTCTCCTTGGTGGGTTTAGCAGAGAACTCTGGCAGGGTCTGGATCAGCTTGTTCAACACCATCCTCAGGTACGACTGCAGCTGTTTCCTACGCTCCTCTACAAACTTGGCATCCTGAGGATGGGAGAAGACAGACGAGAGGGAGATGTTAATACTGTACATAGGGAGGGGGAGAGCGAGAGAGAGAGAGAGAGAGAAAGAGTGAGCACAGTTAAGACTGCAGTTGTTTCCTATACAGTGCCTTCAGAAAGTATTCATACATTTTACATTTTAGTCATTTAGCAGACGCTCTTATCCAGAGCGACTTAAAGTTAGTGAGTGCATACATTATATATATTTTTTTATATACCCCTAGACTTATTCCACATTTTGTTGTGTTACAGCCTGAATTCTAAATGGGTTAAATATTTTAAAAAATCTCACCGATCTACACACAATACCCCATACTGACAAAGTGAAAACATGTTTTTAGAAATGTTTGCACATTTACTGAAAATGAAATACACTAATATCTAATTAACTTGAAGTATTCACACATCCGAGTCAATACATGTTAGAATCACATTTGGCAGCGATTACAGCTGTGAGTCTTTCTGCGTAAGTCTCGAAGAGCTTTGTACACCTGGATTGTATAATATTTGCCCATTATTATTTTCAACATTCTTCAAGCTCTGTCAAATTGGTTGTTGATCATTGCTAGACAACCATTTTCAAGTCTTGCCACAGATTTAAGTCAGAACTTAAACTCGGCCACTTGGGAACATTGAATGTCATCTTGGTAAGCAACTCCAATGTATATTTGGATGTGTTTTAGGTTATTGTCCTGCTGAAAGGTGTATTCATCTCCCAGTGTCTGTTGAAAAGCAGACTGAAATTCCCTGGTCTTTGTGGTTGAATCTGTGTTTGAATTTCACTGCTCAACTGAGGGACCTTACAAATAATTATATACAGTGGGGAAAAAAAGTATTTAGTCAGCCACCAATTGTGCAAGTTCTCCCACTTAAAAAGATGAGAGAGGCCTGTAATTTTCATCATAGGTACACGTCAACTATGACAGACAAAATGAGAAATAAAAATCCAGAATATCACATTGTAGGATTTTTAATGAATTTATTTGCAAATTATGGTGGAAAATAAGTATTTGGTCAATAACAAAAGATTCTCAATACTTTGTTATATACCCTTTGTTGGCAATGACACAGGTCAAACGTTTTCTGTAAGTCTTCACAAGGTTTTCATACACTGTTGCTGGTATTTTGGCCCATTCCTCCATGCAGATCTCTTCTAGAGCAGTGATGTTTTGGGGCTGTCGCTGGGCAACACGGACTTTCAACTCCCTCCAAAGATTTTCTATGGGGTTGAGATCTGGAGACTGGCTAGGCCACTCCAGGACCTTGAAATGCTTCTTACGAAGCCACTCCTTCGTTGCCCGGGCGGTGTGTTTGGGATCATTGTCATGCTGAAAGACCCAGCCACGTTTCATCTTCAATGCCCTTGCTGATGGAAGGAGGTTTTCACTCAAAATCTCACGATACATGGCCCCATTCATTCTTTCCTTTACACGGATCAGTCGTCCTGGTCCCTTTGCAGAAAAACAGCCCCAAAGCATGATGTTTCCACCCCCATGCTTCACAGTAGGTATGGTGTTCTTTGGATGCAACTCAGCATTCTTTGTCCTCCAAACACGACGAGTTGAGTTTTTACCAAAAAGTTCTATTTTGGTTTCATCTGACCATATGACATTCTCCCAATCCTCTTCTGGATCATCCAAATGCACTTTAGCAAACTTCAGACGGGCCTGGACATGTACTGGCTTAAGCAGGGGGACACGTCTGGCACTGCAGGATTTGAGTCCCTGGCGGCGTAGTGTGTTACTGATGGTAGGCTTTGTTACTTTGGTCCCAGCTCTCTGCAGGTCATTCACTAGGTCCCCCCGTGTGGTTCTGGGATTTTTGCTCACCGTTCTTGTGATCATTTTGACCCCACAGGGTGAGATCTTGCCTGGAGCCCCAGATCGAGGGAGATTATCAGTGGTCTTGTATGTCTTCCATTTCCTAATAATTGCTCCCACAGTTGATTTCTTCAAACCAAGCTGCTTACCTATTGCAGATTCAGTCTTCCCAGCCTGGTGCAGGTCTACAATTTTGTTTCTGGTGTCCTTTGACAGCTCTTTGGTCTTGGCCATAGTGGAGTTTGGAGTGTGACTGTTTGAGGTTGTGGACAGGTGTCTTTTATACTGATAACAAGTTCAAACAGGTGCCATTAATACAGGTAACGAGTGGAGGACAGAGGAGCCTCTTAAAGAAGTTGTTACAGGTCTGTGAGAGCCAGAAATCTTGCTTGTTTGTAGGTGACCAAATACTTATTTTCCACCATAATTTGCAAATAAATTCATTAAAAATCCTACAATGTGATTTTCTGGAATTTTTTTCCTCAATTTGTCTGTCATAGTTGACGTGTACCTATGATGAAAATGACAGGCCTCTCTCATCTTTTTAAGTGGGAGAACTTGCACAATTGGTGGCTGACTAAATACTTTTTTCCCCCACTGTATGTGGGGTACAGAGATGAGGTAGTCATTCAAAAATACTGTTAAACACTATTATATCACACAGTGAGTCCATGCAACTTATTGACTCAAGACATTTCAGCCTCTCTCTCTCTCGCTCTCTCTCTCTCTCTGTGGGGAGAGAGACTATGGAGGATGTGCATGTTTATATGTACACACTCAGGAAGCTGACAAATACCATAGACCATATTTATTTGTGTCCTTGTACTTCCATCTCAAGTCAGCAACAACTATACATCATGTTGTTCATCTGCAGGTTCACTGAATTCTGCAAAGGTGGCCAGCGCAGGGACAGAGCAGCATTGACTCATTATTGACCACCACAGGTGTCCATGTGTACAGCCAGGGCCACCCCAGGCAGAAGGCCATAACAGAGGCTATACTGCAAGACCTGATCATTTCCTGCAACCTGCCTATGTCCTTAGTGGACAACCCTCCCTTTAGGCATTTCATGTCAGTGGTAGATGACAAATATAGACCAGTAAGTAGGCCCACGTTGACCAGGCGCCTGCATGACTTAACACTGTATAAAGAGGCTATAATCAAAAGTGCCCTAGAGAAGACAGAATCCGTGTCTGTCACTGTAGATATATGGACTGACAGGACCATGAGGGGCTTCATGGGAGTAACGGCCCATTACATGACCATGGAAGAGAAAAAAACTCCCAGACTGGAGTCAGTTCTGTTGAGCTGTGATAGATTCACAGGGTCAAACACTGGGGAAAGAAAGAATCAGTGATACATTTGAAGTAATATGTGATAATTTTGGCATAAAACATAAATTAGATTATATCATATGTGATAACACTGCAAAGGTGAAAAAGGCCTTCACAGTTTGTTTCCCCAAAGCAAGCAATGATCATGATGATGATGATGATGATGATGATGAGGATAACCCCAGCTTATGGGAGGAATTTGGTGAAGAGTACAATGCTGATGTTGAAGCTATCCAAACCAACTGCAGGCAATAGCGCTTACAGTGCTTTGCCCATTCATTACAACTGGTGATTAAAGATGGACTAAAGGAAACAAAAATCATAAACAGTGTGATGGCTAAGGTAACTAAACTTTGCAGCTTACTACCTGTGGTCTGAAAGAAGCATTTGAAGCTGAGTTCGGAGCCAATCGTAGTATCCATGCTGCTGTGTCTACCAGATGGAATTCCATCCTCCGGCTTGTTAAAGCAGTCACCAATCTGAATCAACAAAGCCTCAATACTCTACTTGAGGCCCAAGGACACAAGGAGCTCTGCTTATCACCAAGGGAATGGAGCCAGCTGTTGGAGCTAGTGGACATTTTGGACCCTTTTGTCCAGGCCACCGACCTCACTCAGGGGGAGAAAGTGGTGACTCTCAGTGCTGCCCTTCCTTGTGTACTGTCACTCAACTATCATCTGCAAAGTATACTGAGCACAAGTCGTCACCTAGTCAGTCTAGTAAAAGCACTGCAGCAGTCACTCAAATGCCGATTCCAGAGGGTGTTTGTGAATGTCAGAATGGAGCACTCGGATGAACAGGCAACAAAACTTCCATTTGGTGACAATGTATACATAATGGCTGCACTGCTGGACCCATCTTTCTGCCTGTTCTGGCTTGATCATGATGTCCTCATCCCACATGAAGATAAAGCTGAATTGTAGGAGAGGCTGATTGGTAGGTACAATGCATTGCAACAACATGCAATGTTTTCTATGTCACTTGCATTCAAATAATAATGTTTTTTTCCCCCATGTATAATGTATACTGTTATATTCTTGATCATATACATCATTTTATGAATTTCTTTCAGACCTTGTTTTGGCTGAGGCACGGAAAGTCACCGTTACGGAGAGCAGTAGTGGAGAAGAAGAAGAACAACCACCTGCCAAAACCTCCAGACTGTTCTCTGGCTACCGCAACAAGATCAGCAAGAAGAAAGGAGACAAAGTAATCTGTCAGAGCAGAGATTATTCGCCACATTCAAGTATCTTCTGATGAAAATGAAGTTGATCGCTTGGATTTTTGGAGAATCCATGCAAAATACTTTCCAAGGCTCAAGCAGGTAGCAATGACAGTGTTGGCTGTGCCTGCCACCAGTGTCCCAGTGGAGAGAGTGTTTAGTCATGGAGGCCTCATCATGTGCCCTCATCATGACAGGCTCAGCGCAAGAACGCTGACAAACTTGATCTTTCTGAAATGTAACCTGTCTGCAACATAAATGTTCTCTGTTTTAGGGCACAGGACGTAATTTGCTACTTGTTACAGGAAATTGTGTTTCTGTTGTTAAGTGTCCAGGTCAGTAAGTATATTTTAGGGATATAGAACACTTTAGTAGTGCAGTTATTGAACAATTGTCAGTCATTTTAGTTTACATTTATACTTGTCATTTATCTTCCCTCACCTCCAGATTTTCTGTTTGTGTGACAGAATGAAGTGAAATATAGACAATGTCTGCCACAAAATACCATGCACTTTCAAATGTTAGGTTTGCTTTTTTTCATATCCGGTACAATTACTTTTATTAATGTAAACTGTCTACATTTTAAAAGGAAATCTATTTTGATTTAAATAGTTTCTAATTTGCTTTCTTTCATACAAGTATGGACTAATGAACAAGGGAGTCTCTTCAAATAATTTACAAGGTTTATAGACCTAACCCACAGCAGGCAGAAAGCCATTGCCAAAAGGGACTTGAGACTTGACTTAGACTTGGCCCTAAAATACTTGAGACTTGACTTGGACTCTACCTCAAAGACTTGTGAACATCTCTGCAATCAAGCCATGAGACAAACACACCGTTTTTAGCGTGGAAGATGCATAACGTAAACAAAGAAATGTGAACTATATGGTTACTTAACAAGGTAAATTATGTCACAAGTAATGCATAAAAGTTTGCAAGTCATTCAGGAATGTTCAAGACCTCCACAATGTCTCTCTTTGTTATAATTAAAGGCGTTACACATGCACATCGCATGTTATATGTGAACACAACATAAAATATTAATTAATTATTAACAATCTTATATATATAAAAAACAGCTAGCAGCTGTCTGATTTGGTAGAACCCCCTAACACTGCCTCTACCAAGCAGTCCAGCAGGGAAGGAAGCAGAAAAATGGAGTGATTTGATCCAAATGAAAGGAACACAGGAGGGAAAGATGGAAAGAGAGAAATATAGAGAGGGAAAACCTCCAAAGCAATAAGAATTCTCTGTGAATCAGAGAGGCACCCAGACAGTTAAACTCTGGGCGGCGGGTGCAGAGCAGACAGTCCCAGACTTTGATGTCATCATTCTTCTTCATGCAGTCGTGGCGATGGCATGGCCGTCAGGACTGATTTGACGGGCGCGCTCGGGAACATTTAGCGTGTTTGCCCACCGACCCCTTGACAAATCAGCTGTTTAGGAGCTGTCAGCGGCAGGTGGCAGGGTGTGTGTGTGTGTGTTGCGATGTCAATGCAGTTAGGAGATTCTCAGATACAGCAGGACGCCGAGAGATGCTCAGATACTGTTGCCGTGGTAATACATTGAGCCGGGATTCTTACGTACACTTGCAGTTATGGTGCTTCACATATCACAAAACTGAGATTTATTACAGTTTCATCAAACAACACTAACTGTATTCCATTCCATGATCCATACACCTGATCCTGCAAGCTAACGCAGATACATCCTGTATGTACTGTGGTACTACGATTCGATTCCTATACAGTCCCATGCAGTAGCTTTAGCCAACTGACAAGATTAGCTCAGCGTCTCGCTCTCGCTCTCTCTCAGGATCAGGTGCTCTGTGTGTGTTTAGCAGGCATGATGAGCCAGGGTCCTCGTGTGTAAGTTTGTTAGCTCTGGCTTGCCAATGAGGATAACCATGATGGGTCTGAGGCACAGTGTGTCTGTCTGTTCCTTCCTGTTTCCCCATCACCTGTGACAGCTCTCTCCTTTCATCCATAGCAAACAGGAAGGAACACACACACACACTGTGCCTCAGACCCATCATGGTTATCCTCATTGGCAAGCCAGAGCTAACAACCTTACACACAGAGGACCCTGTTTTGCTACACTAAAAAGGGTTTGGAGAGGCTCCTCATGATCACTGATCACAGTAATATTCCTCCATCATTAGCTAACTAACAGAGCCCCAGCGTCGCTCAAAGTCTACTTTAGAATATATCAAACTTTCCCTTGCTGCAACGATGCTGTGTTCTGTGAAAAGAGAGAACTGAACATACGTCCCCTGTGAGCGATATAAAGAGAACAGCTGATCTGTTTGACTACAGTGTTGTTAAAGGACAAGTAACAGCATAACTCTGTCAGAGGAGATCAGATGGGGTGGGGGTGGGGGGGGCTTTATGCCAGCGCTTCACCTGTTGGGACAAGAACTAAGCCTTGTCTCTACAAAGTGTTCCTTCTGAGAGGATAGAGGGAGGGAGAGAGGGATGGAATCAGAAGAAACATGACAGATACTTCAGCTCAGCAGACTTACTGATTAAAAACACACAAACCTACCCATGTACACACACACACACACACACACACACACACTACCCTCACAAATGCATTCACACATTCACCTACCCAAACACACACACACTCAATTACCACCATAATCCTGTCTTTATATCCCCCCTGCATCTTTACTGAAAGCTCCAAACACCTCTTACCCTCTCTAGTTTTAAACTCTGCCCCCAGGCATAGTGCACTCCTTTGTGATTCCATGTCAAAGTCACTCTCCAACTTCTGTAACAGAAGCACCCACAGCCCCCTCTCCTCTACTCAGAGACTTAAAAAGACTCCCTTCCTCTGGAACTGAGAGGGAGAGCGAGGGAGCGAGAGAGGAAGGAGAGAGAGGTAGAGAGGAAGGCATGAGATAAAGAGGGAGGTAATGTTGGCTAGAGGCTACTGTAGCTAACATCGAAGCATGTCAATCCAAGTGATGGACAAGTGACCACAATATGACTTAACAATACATTCAGATTCAATAAGTTTGACTACAGGTCATTCAAAACAACATTGACGGAGGGTGACCAATAGTAAAAACCTGATTAAATCAAAAAGGCAACGATTTTCCTGACCGTACATACCTTGTTCCCTATGGCTTTCTTGGGTGGGAAGTTGAAGGTGTCGACTTGCGGGAATTGTGAGCGTAAGTGGTTGTGGAGTGCCCGGAATTCTGTGTAGCGCCTGTAGACATTCCACTCGTTGTCCACGATACGGATGTACACCTACGGAACAGGTAAGACACCAACAACAACAACAACACAATCAAATATGCAATTTTCTAGTGTACAAATCCTACTCTTACAAAATTCCTACAAAACCGCTCACAGTCTACAGAGAGGAGGAAATTAGCCAACCATAATGTCTCAAGATGTTTCTGTATTCTCAATAATATTGTAATATATGACAGTAAAACATACTAGGCCACTCTCTGCCTGTGACTTGCTGCTATTTTCATGCATCATTAAAGTAGAGCATCGGATTCCTTTGTTCAGCTGCTGATGGTCTGTGGCAGGCAGACACTGGGGATTGTGCCGGGAGGATAAGGGAGGTAATTACAACTGGAGGAGGGAGAGAGAGATGAGAGAGAGACAGAGAGCGAGCGAGAGAGAGACATGGTTGTAGATAGATATGTTCAAGTCACGTCAGGGACAATTTGAGCATTTTAGCTAACGCTAACACGTTTCCTAACCTTAACCTACAGTGAGGGAAAAAAGTATTTGATCCCCTGCTGATTTTGTACGTTGGCCAACTGACAAAGAAATGATCAGTCTATATTTTTAATGGTAGGTTTATTTGAACAGTGAGAGACAGAATAACAACAAAAAAATCCAGAAAAACGCATGTCAAAAATGTTATAAATTGATTTGCATTTTAATGAGGGAAATAAGTATTTAACCCCCCCTCTCAATCAGAAAGATTTCTGGCTCCCAGGTGTCTTTTATACAGGTAACAAGCTGGGATTAGGAGCACACTCTTAAAGGGAGTGCTCCTAATCTCAGCTTGTTACCTGTATAAAAGACACCTGTCCACAGAAGCAATCAATCAATCAGAATCCAAACTCTCCATCACGGCCAAGACCAAAGAGCTCTCCAAGGATGTCAGGGACAAGATTGCAGACCTACACAAGGCTGGAATGGGCTACAAGACCATCGCCAAGCAGCTTGGTGAGAAGGTGACAACAGTCGGTGCGATTATTCGCAAATGGAAGAAACACAAAAGAACTGTCAATCTCCCTCGGCCTGGGGCTCCATGGTCAGATGAGACCAAAATCGAGCTCTTTGGCATCAACTCAACTCGCCGTGTTTGGAGGAAGAGGAATGCTGCCTATGACCCCAAGAACACCATCCCCACCGTCAAACATGGAGGTAGAAACATTATGCTTTGGGGGTGTTTTTCTGCTAAGGGGACAGGACAACTTCACCGCATCAAAGGGACGATGGACAGGACCATGTACCGTCAAATCTTGGGTGAGAACTTCCTTCCCTCAGCCAGGGCATTGAAAATGGGTCGTGGATGGGTATTCCAGCATGACAATGACCCAAAACACACAGCCAAGACAACAAAGGAGTGGCTCAAGAAGAAGCACATTAAGGTCCTGGAGTGGCCTAGCCAGTCTCCAGACCTTAATCCCATAGAAAATATGTGGAGGGAGCTGAAGGTTCGAGTTGCCAAACGTCAGGCTCGAAACCTTAATGACTTGGAGAAGATCTGCAAAGAGGAGTGGGACAAAATCCCTCCTGAGATGTGTGCAAACCTGGTGGCCAACTACAAGAAACGTCTGACCTCTGTGATTGCCAACAAGGGTTTTGCCACCAAGTACTAAGTCATGTTTTGCAGAGGGGTCAAATACTTATTTCCCTCATTAAAATGCAAATCAATTTATACCATTTTTGACATGTGTTTTTCTGGATGTTTTTGTTGTTATTCTGTCTCTCACTGTTCAAATACACCTACCATTAAAATTATAGACTGATCATTTCTTTGTCAGTGGGCAAACGTACAAAATCAGCAGGGGATCAAATACTTTTTTCCCCTCACTCTAATTCTCCTAACCTGCTATGAAAAGTCACTTCTGCTAGTCAAAACCGGCAGACCTGCCCTGAGAACAGTCTTTGTTTCCACTAATGCGAAACAGCTACTTTATCACTTCTCTATTTCCTAATACAGTATAGTACTTCCTGCTACTTTATCACCTCTACTTCCTAATACACTATAGTACTTCCTGCTACTTTATCACCTCTACTTCCTAATACAGTACAGTATAGTACTTCCTGCTATTTTATTACCTCTGCATTCTAATACAGTACAGTACTTCCTGCTACTTTATCACCTCTCTACTTCCTAATACAGTACAGTACTTCCTGTGTTTTAAACCCCAGCAAAACACAGCACAGGAAACACTGAAGCTTTGACCCAGGACGCCTCTTTCTCAGGGGACACTTTTCAACTTTCCAAAGTTTAACTTTTTGAAAACGTTTTCTCTGGCAAGTGTGCAATTATGGAGAAAGTGAGGGACATGCCGTAGAGAGAAAACAACAACTGCAGCATTTTAAACTGCCTGAAGCTTAGATGAACCTGCTTGTTCCCTACTGTAGTTTTCAAGGGGGAATGTGTGTGTGTATGCACTTGTGTGTATGTTCTGTCTGTGCGATTAAAGCGTTCGGGTTGAAACAGGGCAAGAGGGTGGGCACTGGGGCCGGCTGGCCAATCTGGACCAACATTAAAGACCTTACACCTCATAATAAGACCAGCACTCTTGAAAACTGCTCCCTGACACACTCACACACATTAGTGGTACACACACACACACACACTGTATTCGCACACACACAAAGACATCATGCATTCATACATGCATAGGAACACTGTACACACACACACACACACAGAAAGACATGCATTCATACATATACAGACTCACTGTACACACAAAGACACAAGGTAAAATGTTGCAACACACTATGATTAAGGTTGTAGTCACACTGCCTGCCTCCTTTTAGACATCAAACGCCAGGCTCACAGTGTACTAGAGCAAACTTAATTCACTTTGGCTCATTATCATATGGATTTATGGCAACACAGAGCAGCTATTGCTTCCTCCTCAGTAATAATTAATTATTTCTTTCTTTCACAAAATATTTGGTTAAATCCAACACCCGCGTTCTGCATTAGAAAAAGCAGCTTGATCATCAAATGTGACAGCCGTGACCTGGGGCCAGCTAGCTCTGGCCAGGTCCAAACTATTCTGATTACATTCCATTTCAACTAAGTCAGTGTTTTTGTACAGCAAAACTAGCAAGCTTACAATTCATTCTGTATCATGAATGAATTTCAAATTGCAACTACTATAAAATGTTGTACAAATTATGGTGACTTGTTTTTTTGTATATGGAGTAAAAAATATATTTGAACAGTGTTTCTCAAACTCTAGTTCGAGGACCGGCACAACTTTCTAGAATATTGTTGACTGATCTTTCAGTTAGTCAAAATAAAAAAATTCTCTCAAATTGTTTTCAAGGGAGGCAGCCCTGAGTAGACAGCCCCTGGTACAGAGAATAGAAGCATTATCATTAAAACAACATAAATCTAGGGGTCAAATTCAATTCAAATTCAAAGCTTCACCCTTTAACACAAACAAGATCTATAACTGCAAGTTGTCCCTGTTTTACTTGTTATGTGTTCTCACCATCTCTTTCGATACAGCCTGAACGGGCAGTTAATGTATTATTGTAGACTAACAAGGCTATTGAAAGGAGCAGCGAGTGACTCATCAACAGCCAGATAGACTGGGAGAGGAAATTCTGTCATTTACAATACCAGTGGCATTTACAACTGCTCATTACTGTACTGCCTTACAGAGACAGATCAGTTCATCTAAAGGGAGGATGGCGGGAGGGAAGGAACGGGGAGGCAGGGAGGGGGCAGGGAGTAGGTAGACTCAGGGTAGGGATACACCACAGTATGACCCAGGGTAGGGATACACCACAGTGTGACCCAGGGTAGGGATACACCACAGTATGACCCAGGGTAGGGATACACCACAGTATGACCCAGGGTAGAGATACACCACAGTGTGACCCAGGGTAGGGATACACCACAGTATGACCCAGGGTAGAGATACACCACAGTATGACCCAGGGTAGAGATACACCACAGTGTGACCCAGGGTAGGGATACACCACAGTATGACCCAGGGTAGGGATACACCACAGTGTGACCCAGGGTAGGGATACACCACAGTATGACCCAGGGTAGGGATACACCACAGTGTGACCCAGGGTAGGGATACACCACAGTATGACCCAGGGTAGAGATACACCACAGTATGACCCAGGGTAGGGATACACCACAGTGTGACCCATGTAGGGATACACCACAGTATGACCCAGGGTAGAGATACACCACAGTATGACCCAGGGTAGGGATACACCACAGTATGACCCAGGGTAGGGATACACCACAGTATGACCCAGGGTAGGGATACACCACAGTATGACCCAGTAGGGATACACCACAGTATGACCCAGGGTAGAGATACACCACAGTATGACCCAGGGTAGAGATACACCACAGTGTGACCCATGGTAGGGATACACCACAGTATGACAAAGGGTAGAGATACACCACAGTATGACCCAGGGTAGGGATACACCACAGTATGACCCAGGGTAGAGATACACCACAGTATGACCCAGGGTAGGGATACACCACAGTATGACCCAGGGTAGGTATACACCACAGTATGACCCAGGGTAGGTATACACCACAGTATGACAAAGGGTATGGATACACCACAGTATGACCCAGGGTAGGGTTACACCACAGTATGACCCAGGGTAGGGATACACCACAGTATGACAAAGGGTAGGGTACACCACAGTATGACCCAGGGTAGAGATACACCACAGTATGACAAAGGGTGACCCAGGGTTAGAGATACACCACAGTATGACCCAGGGTAGGGTTACAACCAGTGTGACCCAGGTAGGATACACCACATTGTGACCCAGGGTAGGGATACTGGTCCACCCAGTATGACCCAGGGTAGAGATCACCACAGTATGACCCAGGGTAGGGTTACACCACAGTATGACAAAGGGTAGGGTACACCACAGTATGACCCAGGGTAGGGTACACCACAGTATGACCCAGGGTAGGGATACACCAGTGTGACCCAGGGTAGGGATACACCGCAGTATGACCCAGGGTAGAGATACACCAC